TTTCCTGGAGTTTTTGCTGTGCTCTGCACAAACAGGAGTATTTGTGATTATCACTCTGCCCAACAGTCTTTGGGTTACGACAGCAATTGAGACTGGGGTTGCTGTCACTAAGCAATACAGTTGTAAAGCATAAAGTCCTGGTAGCCCTGGTTGCTTTCATAATCACAAGGCATGCAGGTTGTTAAGTGTGAAGCAGTGAGAGTCCCAGATAAGGAGCATGGCGGTTGCCACAGGGATGTGTGCGTATCCTGAGAGGACCGGCACAAGTTGCACACAAATCAAGGGAGGCCTGGGAGTGCTTCAGAGGCCAAGCGCGGGCCATGCGTAGTCGAGGGAAGGCTTGGGAGGCTGAGCACAAACCACGTGTCAATCGAGAGAGGCCAGAGGAGCCTGTGTGCAGGTGGGTGGGTAGTCCTGCGGGCAGGAGTGACTTACCGGAATGAGTTGCAGCCTTCCCTGCCTGCTTCCCCATTGAATTTGCTTGGAGGAAGGCAAGGGAAGGTCACAAATGGCGCTCACATGATGAACTTCGGTTGTATGTTCATTTTTTCAGTGCTGCCGTAACTTTGAACGGTTGCTGAAAGAATGGATGTAAGCTGAGGACTACCTGTGCCTTTTATTCCTCCAGCAATTTGTCAATACATGGTAAATTCCTAACTTCATTGAACAGTTCTTGCTGTATCTTTAGCCTGATTTCTGAATCTGGATATACCATATTGGCATATATGATTGAATTTATCTTACTGTAGCTGTCCTTGAAGTAAAAAGCATTTGATGGTGATGCTAATGGTGAGATTGCTGGATTTATTGTTCTTTTTAGAAGGCTCCATATTTTTAACTTTTAACAAACTTTACTTATAATATATCCCTTCAAATTATTTTCTTTTATTTTTTTGTATCATAAATACTTATGAAGTCCATTGGCTAAGCCAGCTCCTTCTGTAATTAATATTCTGCTGTTTGGGAGTTTTATCTATCCTGTTATCAATGATAAGACAGCTTGCTCAATAATATAATTTAAGGTTAGGAAATGTAGTCCTCCTTTCTTTTGAGTCTTGCAAAATTTTGAATCTTATTCTTTTTTTTTTCCCCTGCTTCATATAAGTCTATTTATTATTCTTTGCCAGTCCTGCAAATTGAGATTGAAATTGGAGCCATCTGGGATAGGAAGTTCATCTTAGGAAAATATATATTCATTTGTATTGTTGCAATACGTCGTAAGCAAGAAAATTTTAGATTTTTCCACCTATCAAGATCTATGTAGTTCCACAATTTGTTACAATCTGGGATAGGAAGTTCATCTTAGGAAAATATATATTCATTTGTATTGTTGCAATACGTCGTAAGCAAGAAAATTTTAGATTTTTCCACCTATCAAGATCTATGTAGTTCCACAATTTGTTACAAGTGCTTTGAAATAGGTCTTGGTTGCAGATAGAGTCCCAAATATTTCAGTGGGTTTTTTTTGTTTGTTATTTCATAATCAGTCTTTTTTTCATAAAGCCATCTTCTTCAAAGGTTCTGTATATTATTAATATCCAAAATTGTAATTTGGACAGTAATGCCTTTGTTCCACTTTTCATATTTTATTGGCTGCAGGTGCCAAAGTCATCCTTGCTTGCAGAGATATGGCAAAAGCAGAAAAGGCAGTCCATGAAATCCGGACCAAGACG